TATATAAGCTGGTAGAACTGCAAATTACCACCATTCCAGCAGTGCAAAAACAATACAAAGAAAAACAAAGACAATCTACCTTAAATGGTTATAAGGACTGTGGACAGGCCTCCTGTGGCTGAAAGTGTCTGTTGTTCACCCCCTCCTGTTGTGACAAACCTTCTGAACACACACACACACACACATGCACAAATAAACAGAGCAAGTTATGACCTAAAAGGTTATGAGATGACACGCAGCGTCATGTGTTAGCACAGCTATGCACACCGTGTTTGGGAAAAAAAATAAGAAACTCATTTACAGTTATCCTGAACTTACCRCTCACGCCTCCTAATATTCATCTTCCTGCAAAGATCAGAGTTGATTACAAAAGCATTTCTTTTTATTACATTTAATTTATTCTGTATTTACATTCAGAACTCTAGAAATACTCACCATCTGTTTAACAGGCTGTTTGATTATATTGTTTGATTAGAATGTCRTTTATTTTCACTTTAGCTTAAAGGCGTCAAAACATAATTACTCTGAAAACCAACTGTGTAACAGTTGGGCCAAAGTATATACAGTGAGTTTCAAACCTAYTGCATTCTTTTTAAAGGATTGTTTGTTTTAAATGTGTAACTTTAAACTAAATCTTAATGTGGGGTCTAGTTTCTTTAAATGTGTCATTTTAAGAAAACATTACTGCAATATCTGCTAACAGCATCTCTTAAACTGTAATACTAGAAAACAACACCTATACATCTCAGTTTTACAACGCATGACTAAAAGTTTCTTTTTAGCTGGAGTGACTGYAGGCTAAAGCTGACATGCTCCTGGTTCCATTACCACTGAGGTAGAGCTAATCTGGCCTGATAGCCTTCCTTCAAACAGCAAAGCCCTAGTGACAAAACCCACTTCTTCTTAATGTTTCTGCACCTCCCTCTCTCTCTTTTTTCCTTTTTTCCTTTTTTGTGTTCTGAAAATAGCAACTTGAAAACATTTTAAACCGCAGTGCTGGTAAAATTTAAGTAATGTTCAAACTCATTTCACAGAAACTACAAACTGCTTCTGGCTCCACGTTAACTGTTCAATCGCTATGACACAAGAACCAGAAAAGAAATCCTTGGATTATCTTCATTTAATGGAGGCAAAGACATCCAGAGAAAATTTGTTCAGTTTCTAAAACAAAGAAAAAAGTTTTTCAGATAAATTATTTGTTTTCTAAAAATCATTTGAACTGAACACTAAACACTGAACACTAAAAGGAGACATATCCTGCTTTTAAATCCTTCTTTTTCACATTTAAACCATTTCGTCGGGGTCTATATAAAGTAAAACTGCAATGCTTTGGTCTGAATTCCTCCATATTGTAACTCCACAAGCCCCTCCTTTGCCCCTGTGTGTCTCAGATGAACTTGTTTTGAGGCTGTCTCTTTAAATCCAGAAGTGCCCCCCTCCCCAATTTGGCAGTTTGTCACAAAAACTGTGACATTTAGAAAACATCAAAAGAAAATGGAACAATTGAAAAATATTACCTAAACAGAAAATAAAGAAATCTATGCAGCACAAGGAGCAAATAAATTAAAGTACACAACAAAATACTTTTAACTATTAAAGTGGATTTTTGCACCATATGTCCCCTTTAAATATTWCCAAAGTAAAGTAAAATGTTCCAGAACTTGTTACGTTTTGTTTTAAAAGCATTCATTTACTTAAATAAAAGTAATTTATTCAAAGCAGATGATATGCCATTTTTCACCAGAAGTGTGAAAGAGAGCAGATTTAAAAAAGTATTTATCCACAGCATCTGTACAGACATGCTGTACTGACAACATAAAAACATGCACAGTCAAACAGCCACACTTATCCTTGTATACACATTTCTACGCATCCAACTTTATTTTCTCTCCCTTCATCTCTCATCTGCCTCTCTCCTTAGGTAAAAGCATCAAAATGGCCGCTATTATGAGCCATTTGGGCTTCCTGATTTGTTTACCAGCGCTTCTGACCAGGTGTTGATTATCGGTTGGTTGTTTAAGGTGTCTGTCRCTGAGAGGGGTCATTCTGATAGGTCACCAAGATGAAAGCTTCATTTTCTCTCCAAGTCTCTGAAAGAAGGAAGAGCAAAGGGATAGAATTATGAGCCGTAGGCATATCTTCAAAGAGAGCTGGATGTGAGAGCTTTCACAGAGTTTTACATCGTTCAGTTTAAACAATTTCACATCTGAGGATCAGACTTTGTAAAATGGCTGAAATACAACTAGAGTGAATTATGGAATCTTCCTCAGAGCTGCTTAAAACCACCTGAAAGCTTGGTGTCTCACGTAATTGCGTCAGGTGTGCTTTCAGCTGGTTTTGAAAGACTCATCTTCATCTGTATTTATGATCCAACTCCACCTCAGTCATCAGTTGCCGTCTCACGTGTCAAGAGTCAGCTCGTCGATGGAGCTGATGTGTTGGTACACAGCATAGAGAGACATGTTGTTAAWGCAGCAACTGGGATACTGTCAGTTGTCACAGAAATATTATTTAATACAATACAGTACATTCAATAACGTCTGGGTCTCCTGGTGGAGGTGGTGAAGAAGAATCCCTCTTTAAGAATCAAGGGTTTACTAGAAGTCATTTAGAGACAAAGTATTTGTTTTTATTTGTAATTGCAGCTTCAAATTGTTACACTGAAGTGGAGAAAAAATACCAGGTGACTGAATAATCTTTCTTTTTTGTTTTGTGCATCTGGGTGATCTGGATCATAGACATATCTGTCTATCTTTTTGGCGATGCTTTTATACTGTACAAGAAACACTATAATTTAGATCCTGAGTTGTAGGACAAAGTTTTGGACCTAAAATATAGTTAAAGATGTACTTGTGCAATGCTTACATAAAGAGTCACTGATAACAGTCATAAATAAGCCCCTCCCTGTGTGTTGAAACAAACCAAATTCCAAAATGCAGCAGCTGAAATCTGCATTTGGGCTTTTGCAGTTTCAGCACCAAGGACAGCTCTATTGTGAGCAATTAGTAATGGAATAGGTTTTCCTTCGAAGCTTTCTGCATTTAAATCTATAATTACCTCCACCAAGGGAGGAGGTAATGTTTTCGGTCTCGTATGTCTGTCTGTCTGTCTGTCTGTCTGTCTGTCTGTCTGTCTGTCTGTCTGTCTGTCTGTCTGTCTGTCTGTCTGTGGACACAATTACTCAAACTTGTGGTCGGATTGTCATGAAATTTTTACCACACGTGGGTATTGGCCAAAGTAACACACCATTAAATGTTGGTGATGTTCCGAATCACTATGCGGATACAGGAATTTTTATTTTTACTTTGAGTGAATCAGCCAGGCTACGCAGTGTCGTTATGTCAGACGCATGCCTGTAGGAAACAGGAAGTGAAGTCGCAAACTCGCTGGGACTACACCTCCCAGGATGTTTACTATCGGGAAAGTTGTGATTATTCTGTTATCAACTAGTTTTGGTGATGTTACACGCTGTTTGGAGACATAGAAAAGAAATGCGATTCTCTTCACGTTACGGGAATAACTGAGAGGACACCAACAGTGAGGGGAGGGTCCTACTACAGCTGAGCCGAAGCTGAAACCAGACAGCGGGAACAGTTGATCAACCATGTGAGGTACCCCCTTCACATAAGAACTTTATTGTGTGATTTGTCAGAAGTTCATGGGAGTGTGTGCTTGTGCTGAAAGCGCTCAGACGCTGTATTTTGCTTCAACCACTCACTTAAAAAAAGACGAGTGGCGAGTCGCTTCCAGAGCCAACTGTACCAGCAAGCAGCAGTTTATAAAGAGAGTCAAACCATTAAAAACTCATAAAAGGGATAAAATAGACGTTTTACATGGTGGAATCTGACTGATAAGCACTTATGAGCTTAATCTGGAACCAGTTTGTGGATGAATCATGTCGGGTGACGAGTCTCTGACTTGTTTTTCACATTGGACTCCACCGGGAAGAAATCCCATTCATACTGCCTGCTTAAATGTTCACTACGTCAGAACTTATTCGACAAATATGTTTCCATCTCTCCTTCTGCGCATAACTATTGCAGGATGAGGGAAATTGGCCTTGGCGGAGGTTTGCACTCTCTGAGTGCTTCTAGTTTTATCTGTTTTACTAGAACCCAGTCTCTGTGGTCCAACTGATTGTTGACTTGGGAGAAATTAACAGAAAGAGAGAAACAAAACAACTTATGTTCACCGGTAGGGGAAAGAAACCAAAAAGAAAAGTCAAAAATTGACTTGCTATGTTTCCCCTGGTCTTACAGGTATTTTAGTATCTGATAAATTGGATCAGTAATAATGCTGTTTCATGTTTCCTCCAAGTGTTGTTGCACGCCTTTTTTTCCCCTGAGATGAGTTAGTTTTGTTCCCTTTGAGAAAGCAAAGAGAAATAAAAGCAGATTTTTTTTTTTTTTGTAAAATCGGTTCAATTACAAGTCCAACAACAGAAGAAACTACAAATATGTCTGAAAGCCTTTATTTTCATCTTAGCCTGGCGGCTATATTGTGGTCACTTACATTTTTCTTTTTTTTT